ATAAAAAGTGGCGGCACCAGCTTTCAGAGTGGCGCAGCATCTTGTCTCACTTGTTTTTTTCTGCAGTGCGTAAACGTTGCAAACGGGCCGTCACCTGTGTGACGTGAAGTGCCGGCGTTGAGGCGTCTCTCAGTCTAGTTCTGCACCCCCCCCCCCGGTCAAACATCAAACCAAGGCACATCATATGGCTTTTCGACCTTTACTGCTATTTGACAAGTTTATTTTGCAGGTTTAGCCTACTGTTTTTTTGCAGGTGACTTACCATACAAGGGAAACCTTTGGTAATAATAAATCATTCTCCATTGGCACAACAATTTGTTAACAGGCAATATTTTCTATAGAAAATAAAAGTTGTAATAAAACTTTACAGTGTTGTGTCTAAAAACGTTCGTGAACATAATGATGGAACAGGCATCACGTGAGCTCGAAGTGCCACTATGGCCTTTTTTCTCTACTGCATCTCTGATACTCCACCCACGCGAGGTTTAATCAGCTGTAAACGAGGCTAACTTATTGCCACATATTTAATTTGAAACCGCTTTACACGTTCCTTGTGGCGTGACCATTACCTCGCTCCTGTTGGGTAGGATGGGAAAATATCTCTCAAATTTGTTGAGATTTCGAAGCATTGCAACACGAACGAAGAATACAGTTTACAAGCATTTTACAGCGAGAGAGCTTTAGCTTTTTTTTCATTGCTGTTGGTGTTCGCACGCCAGCAGGCCATACTGTCGGATCTGGCCGCGAATGAAAGCAGCACACAGTCTCATAGAGGTGGCCGTGGGCTGCAACTCGGCAACCAACTGCGACATGAACCGTGTCACTTGACGTTGACGGACTTCGGTGATCCAACATGAGATTCCTACTCGTACCCCTAGTACTTATGTGCCAGCAAGGCATCCACGGCAAAGCCATACACTCTGTGGCTGTGAGTAAAATACTACCTTTTGTTTCAATAACCATTTCAAATTCAGACTATTTTGTTAACTATGTGCCTTAACCGACGCCCCAAAGAACGGCATTGCCAAAATGACAATCATTTTTACGAATCCTTATTCTTTGGCATTTTCTTTCTGAATAGGGCCCTTTCGTCACATACGGCGAACGTTTTTACTCGTGTGAACCAGACAACCGCCTGGACCTTCCCTGGAAATGGCACTTGCGTGGTACTCACTTTAACCCCCATAAACCAAAAGAGCCACAACTCTTAACAGGCAATGTGACGGGTGTGAATGAAACTATTGATGACGGCTGCTGGGTAAGACAATACTGTAATAAGAAAAAAGAAGTGTGTGACATCCGAACACTTAAAAAAAAGACTATAAATTTAGATGCTTCGCAGAACAAAGCATTTGCTTCGAAAGTTGAAAACAAAAATCTGTTGTCAGCTGAAAAAGTTCTAATGCTTATCCTAACTTTTTTGTTTGTAATGCGAACGATCTGTGTCCTCTGCAACGTTAGAAATTTGTTCACAAGATTCTAACAGTGCAGACGCAGAAAGAATGCAGAATTGATTAACAATTACGCAACAAATCTTTGTTATAACAGGCGAAAGTAATTGTAGATATTCGGTCAAACAATCAATGGAAGGCAAACAACTTTGTCTGCTCTTTTAAAAGGAATGCATGTCAAGCTCTTAGATCGAACATCCCTAAATTTTTCGAGGGTATGTTTAAAAAGAGAGCAGACGATAAAGGCGCATGCATATTGAAACCTGTAAGTAATTAAATGCAAGTGCTCTCGCTATACAGGGTGGGTGATCCGCGCCGTCTTTTAAAAATGCTTATACTGTACCGGATTCACGCGTGCGGGCGGGCTTGCCTACCGTCGCTCGCCAGGGCACCTTACGGCGCCGTGCGAGTATGCAACCCGTCCGCATGTAACGAATTCTTTTTCTGATAATTTACGGCAATAATGAAGGACTGTAATCGCGGCTAAAACACAAATGAATTTTTAAGACTGTGACAACTTCTATCTACAGCGAGTTTACGCGGTCAACAGCACCCCCATAGACTGGACTTTTCCAAATATTCCAATCTTTCCTTATGGACAATATAGGTTCAGATTGACGTTTGGCAGAGGTGAAAACCTATACGCATGCTGGGTGGCAGAGACGAAAGTTGTTCCGAAACCCGAGTAGGACACAATGTATACCGGGGCCAAAGCGGATGCTGCAGTGTTGTCCGCGTTCGGAGCGCGGCCTAAGAGAATTGCACAATACCTCGCAGCCATAGCGTGGAGTCCAAATATATAATTGAACCTAGACATAACGAGTTCGTTTTCTCTATTGGAACTACTTTGCACTCGCACAGCCTGCTCGGACATGCACGGTGGCACACCCGGACGGCGTGCTGAACAGGCTTCGCGATATCTCACGAACTTCAACGCTGTGACACGCGACACGCTTGGCGAGGACATGCCGGAAACTTCTTTTCAAAAAGCAGTCGATAAAAATATTTTACTGCGGAGGAACTCCATAACTACAAACGAGCTACTTCGATATGCGAAGCAGTGTCTGATGATCTCATGCAGCTCCCTAACGGCAGAGCGGCTGGCCTACCTCCCAGGGTTAAGCATCCACCGCAGGGCTTCAGCTCTGGTTAAGAGGGCGGGCTACCATTCCTGGCCGAGCCGTTTGGGGGCCCCTCCGCAGCACCGCCAGCGCCTCTCCGCGCGCTCTTCAACTCGTCGCCACGGCCAAACGGTTCGAGATATCGACACCAAAATTGGTATGCGAGTCTGAGATGGTTGTATCCCTCACCAGTTTGCACCATTATTTTTTGCGATTTTTGGTTTAGGCCCTATGGTACGTCGGCTTTCGTTGACTTTCGTCCACAACAACTTTTTATTGAGGTAGAAATTGAAGAAAGGGGCTACGTTAGCGTGTTGCCCCAACCTTCCCCTACACGGTAATATTTATCCGAAACCTGTGCGGGTAAAGTTACGCCCGCTGAGTGGGATCCGCTGCCCCTCTGCACAACACTTTTTGGGGATTCTGAACGCAAGACGAGGCCAGGGGGAGACTGACAGGGTACGGTCTACGATGCCGTGCTATACCTGCCCCTCCACCACCCCCGCCTCGCCCCTGCTCCCTAACATGTGTTGTTACGGTCATTGTTTCATTCCCATTCAGGGTGGTGCGGCGGGGCCCTCGGCCGGCCGGCCCAGTCCGGGCGAGCCTGAGCGGCGAGGAGGCTCTGGGGCCCTCTCAGGCTGTCTTGTCGCGTCTAACTTACGTCGAAATTGGAGTAGAACTTTTATTCAAAATCGTCAGTGTGCGTAAACATACCAGTTGGTTTATTGGAGTGGCCCAAAAGATAATAAAATAAGAAGAAAATACACAATTTTTGAGCACACTAAAAGAAAGAGAGTTGGATGGTTGGAATGGGGTCGGGGGGCGGGCACCCGGCGTGAGGTGAGCATCGGGTGGTGGCAAGGACAAAGGCGGAACGAATCAGAAACTCTGACTGCAAGTGCCGTTTAAAAAAGTCTAAATATTGATCTAAGCGCCAAAACATGCTAAATTTTAAATAGACAGACACAATTACTAATAGTATTGCCCTCCCATGCAAAAAAAGAGTGATGTTTCTACGACAATTTTGACAGTTTTCGTCAAGCTGCGCCGGTTTTGTACACTGGGTGCCGGTCGCACCCCCCCCCCCCTCTCTCTCACACACACACACTTTTAATATCAATATCTCTCTCTTTCTC